GAGCCCACACATCCCATCCAAAACGACTTGTTGCAGGAGATCGAAGCACCTCGAGCACCAGCTCCCGAGCCAGAAAAACCACAATATGACAAACCGACGTTCACTCAACCTCTGCAAAGCATCGCCGACATTCCAGAAGGCGGCGTGGCCCTCCTTGAAGCTCGCGTCATTCCCATCAATGACCCCAACCTCAGAATCCAGTGGTTCTTCAACGACCAACCTCTTCAAGTAAGATTTCCCCGACTGTTCTCCACCTTATGAGCACGATTACGGTGTTTACAGGATTCCAACTGGATTGCCACCAACAACGACTTTGGAAACGTCTCGCTACGTATCGCTCCAGTTCATGCTCGTCATTCTGGAGTCTACTCTTGCAAAGCCACTAACGATCATGGAGCTGCAACCACCAGCGCATCTATTGGTGTACAAGGTACGGTAGAAAAATGTCGGGGTGACTGGAAGTCCAAGATAACTGGGAAATTTCAGGAACAGAAAGTCTCATTTTGGACACAAGCCATCCGGCTTCACTCCAGAAGATCAGGGATCTTGAATCCATGGATAAGTACGGTCGTATTGAAGCACCCGAGAAAGATTACGGCAAACCACAATGGCTCAAACCATTCGAAGTAGGGACAGTCACAATTTTTAATTTTAGGAAGTCCGGCTCGTCTGCCTTACCCGAATTTTTGGGGCGTGGGTAATTTCCTTCCCTCATATTGCTTTTTAGGACGTTGGCGAAATCAATGTTGGGGACACGGTCAACCTTTATGGTGTGGTTGGTCCATCAGACGATCCAAACCTTCACGTCGAATGGTTCCACAACGGAAAACCACTGCTCAACGGTAGGTTTGCCATTTCGTGATCAACAAGTATTGGAGGCTTGCAGTATCTTTCCCCTTCAGTCACCTGTATGCGTTAGTGTGGTCCCTAGGCGTAGATCCCCGACAGGGTCTTCGTTACAGGTCCCCTCCATTTCAGGTCTGAGAGTACGACCTCTGGGTGTCTTTTACAGCCACCACCTTAACAATTGGATCCTGTCGGGAGGATGTCCTCAAGCCATTTAGTGATCGTCGCCCATTTCAGCCAACCGATTCCGACAAGAGTTCGAATTCGGCAGCGTGCTACTCACCATCGTACACGTTCTTCCTCACGATTCGGGAGTTTTCACCTGCCGTGCCTACAACCCACAAGGAGAGGCCACTACCAGCACAACCCTCAAAGTTCCAGGTGAGATCTCCCGGCTTTTTCCTCCTTTTTCGAATTCCCATTGGTCTCCATTGTTCATATGGGAGCCTTTCCGTTTCAGGATATGAACGTCTTATGCTCGACTCACAACACCCGGTGTCTTGGCAGAGAATTCAAGAGCTTGAGGCACCAAAGGTGAGTTATCCATCCTTAGAGCCCTCACAAGGACCAACAAATTATTCCGGACCATTCAGGTTGTCGAAGAAGTCGAGGAAGTGATCCAACGAGAGAAACCTCACTTTATCACCCAACTACAACCCGTGGAAGGAATACAAGAAGGCCAACCGATCCATCTCGAAGCCACCTTCGAACCCACCAGAGATCCTGACATGCAAGTGGTATGGAGGAAGAATGGTCAACCGATTATTGCCTCACAACTCGTCCAAACTCATCACGAACTTGGATGGGCTACGCTGGACATTCCCATGGCTAATGAAGACCATAACGGTAGGTTCGGGTGCTGGTGAAGGAGAGCTTGAAAGAGGTAATTGGATGTTTCAGGCATTTACACTGTAACCATCACCAACAGCGAAGGAGAGGCTGTATCGACAGCACCAGTAAAGGTCACCAACTTGGCCCCAGTTCTTGGAGACACCAGACATGAGGAATCGTGGCGACGTATCCAGATTCTTGAAGCGCCACGAGAACCTGAACCTGAGGCTCCTCCTCGCATCTACGATCCTCCCCACATCACCACCCAACTCGAAGACAAGGTACTCTTTTTGGAGCTGGTCTCAAGAAGTCATCCTTGACAGCATCTATAGAATTCCCAATTATTACGGTGTTCAGGAATGCAACGAAGGCGATCGTGTACACTTCGAAGCCGTCTACGGACCAGTCGATGATCCAAACTTGCAAGTACAATGGATTCGAAACGGTCAGCCACTCGCACATGGCTCCAAATACGCCATCGGCAAAGATTTCGGCATCAGCACACTTGACATTGCCTACGCTTACCCCGAAGATCAGGTAGGTAGAGGGGATAGCAAGATATCCGCTCACAGACAACTTTGTCTGATTGGTGCTCGACCTTTCCTGCGAGATTCAGTTTTGGACGAGTTTCAGGGTGTCTATCAAGTGCGCATCACGAGTCCTACAGGTGAAGCTGTATCATCGGCTACATTGAAATGCCATGGTAAAGACGCCATCCTCGGTGACACCCAACATGCCGAATCCTGGGCTCGTATCCAAGAAATCGAAGCTCCCAAACCTAAGGTATGGTCTGGGTGACGATAAGGAGAAAAAATGTAATTGAACCTGGTAATTTAGATGGAAGAAGTTGAACCGGCACCGAAACCAGCTCCGAAGTTTGTCAAATCGATCACATCACCTGGAGAACTTGTCGAAGGACAACCAGCTCACTTTGAGGCTACTATCGAGCCTGCCGATGATGCGAATATGGAGATTACCTGGCTGTTGGACGGAAAACCAGTAAGTTCCTCGAGTTCGATTCGTCTGGGATCAGTTGGGGCCAATCAGCCAAAAAATCAATATGATTTCCAGATGGCCAGCTCGTCTCGTGTGAAGATGATCAACGACTTTGGCTGGGTCATCATGGATATCAAGGAAGCCGAACCACGAGACACTGGCGAATGGACATGTGTAGCAAAGAATCCTGCCGGAGAGGCACGATGCAGCGCTCCACTCAAAGTAACCAGCAAGGAAAATATCGGTGGGCGTGGTTTCCCACAGTTTTTATTGCTTTATCGAGCGATCCTTATCTGAGCTCTTACAGTACTCGACTCGTTGAACCCACAATCACTCGATCGTATCCGCGAGATCGAAGCCGACAAGCCTGCGGCGCCCGAAGCTCCGGCCCCAGTCTATCCTGCACCGAAGTTCACTGCTCCGTTGACAGTGCAGGGAGCGCTCGAGGAAGCTGGCAGTGCTCACCTTCAGGCTCAATTCACACCGATCGACGATCCAAACCTAAAGGTACTTTTTGAGAACCTTTTCATGGGTAAAAGGGATAGAGAAGGGGCTATCAGCCGCCTTCTTGTAAATTAGGGGCCCAAGTCCCCAGGGCTGAGGCAAAGAGCAGAAATCTGTGCTGTTTAGGTCGAATGGCTTCGCGACGGAAAACCGATTTTCCACTCGAATCGCTACCGTATGATTCACGACTTTGGCTTTGCCGTATTGGACATTATCCACCTTCTTGGTCACGACACGGGAGAATACACATGCAGGTGAGTCCCTGGTTCAACTCCAACAGTTTTCTCGTCCCTGAACGGATAGCTCCGCCCCTCACATCAGATCTATGATCATACGTATTTCTAGAATCGTAAATGAAGCCGGTGATGCTGTAACGTCTGCACCGATCAAGGTTGCACCCAGCAGCGGTCTTATCCTTCATCCTCAGGTAAATAGCGTGGGTAAACCTGTTGTTTACAAGGACTGATAGGGAACTAACAAAAAATCCATGGAATTTTTTTCCGATTTCTCACTTTGTTCCGTTCAGAACGAGCAGAAGGCAAAGGCAGTGTCGGATCTCGAAGAGGTCCTCCACCGTAAGCCAGAAGAAACTGTTGTGGAAGTCAAGGTGAGTGTTCGGGTGATTATCATGTGGGAAACCCCGCCCATACTTGCGATTTAGGAAGTCATGCCGGTGTTCATCGAGCCACTCTCAGCTCCAGTCGAGTGTGAAGAAGGAGATCGAGCTCACTTCACGGCTAGATATGAACCCCTCAATGATAACAAGCTACAGGTACCTACGGTTCTCTACTGTAAGAGTAGTCAGGCGCCTCTGGGATTGTTCCCGGAACCACCTTTGAACTTCCAGGTACAATGGTTCCATGATGGTCGTCCACTGAAGACCGGATCCTCGAAATCAGCCCCGTCTACCCAGAAGATAGTGGCGAGTATTCTTGCCGAGCGAGAAACTTGGTACGTCCCGAATTTGTGACCTGAGCATTCTCCCCACGTCTTCCTCCTTATCGCATGACCATTTCAGGTGGGCGAGGCTGTGACCAGCACTCGGCTTACGTGCAATCCCATCGAAAGAATTGTTCGCGAATCACAATTGCCTGGTAAGATGGCAGAAGCAGCTAAGATTAGGATTGGTGAAATTGAAGCTCCTCGACCACCACCAGAGGAAGCACCTGAAGCGGATTATGGACCACCGAAATTCACCACACCACTTACGGTAACCACCCTTGGAGTAGCTTCTCCCCTGAATCAAGTATAGTTAGTTAACTATCTTCTCATTCAGACTCCTCCTGAACTTCTCGAAGGTCAGATGGCCCATCTTGAGGCACAGATTACTCCTGTTGCGGATCCTAACCTGAAGATCGAATGGTTCCACGATGGTAAACCAATGAAGCATTCCAACAGAATGAAGGTAAGGGCGCCTCAGGAGAAAGGTTCGACAGGGATATGAGACCTGAACAATGTGGATTTCAGATGATTCACGACTTCGGATTCGTTGTACTCGAGCTCACACCATCAGAGCCTCAGGACACTGGAAAATGGACTTGCCGAGCTACGAACAAGAAAGGCTCCGACGAGGTTTCCTGCGACGTCAAGGTGGGCCATTCGCTCTTCCCCTTTTCGGGAAACTTTGCGTGACTGTCAATATTTTATTGAGAGGGTTTTATAGGTGGTGGGAACTGGAGGTGTCTCATACGAATGGCTCTCACCAGCTGAGCGCAAGGATCGTATCAACGAACTTGAGCACTGGATTCACCGACCGAAAGAGGAATTGCATCTACCACAAGTTGACTATGGACCACCAAAGTTCACGCAGAATTTGACCGATCTTGGCACAGTGAGTATGGCCATTTGTTTGATTACTCTGGACCAGGGTGTCTGACGGGAACTGTTGCGAGCGGTAGCGTTGCGGTCTCGAAATACCAGGCCCTTTCATGAATTTTCTGGAGTGACACCATTTATTCGGACCTAAAACGTTAATCAAGCCACATGAGATTGTTCTTTAAAGGTGACTGCGCAGCTGCGACGCAGCCGCGCGCGTCTCTTCATACAGAACACCCCTACAGTTTGCTAAATTGCTTTATGTTATTTATGCTGTGAATAAGGCTATAAACTTCAGTTGAACGAAGCCGACGCCACTGCGTTCGTCTGTGTTTTGGAGCCAATCGGTGATCCGACATTGCGAGTACACTGGGAACACAACGGCCATCCAATCCCGTATTCGAACAGGCAAGCTCTTGTCTAAGCATGTGTATGGGAAACCACGCCCATCGTCTTGAAAATACCTCCCACTTCTTTGCAGAATCTCGTGTACAAACGAATTTGGTGTGGCTACTTTGCTTGTCAAGCACCTTATTACAGCCGATAGTGGCGAGTATAAGTGTGTGGCCACGAACTCGAAGGTAGGTCAACTGTATCCATCCACAAGTCTTTGAACTGGAGTGAGCCATGTTCAGGGTACTGCTGAAACAATTGGAAAGATCGTGGTTGAATCGCTGACGAAAGTGGATGCCCCACAAGTCGTCCAGCCGCTCGTTGAGAACATCGATAACACTTTGGTAAGGCTGTCAGAACTTCTAAGAAAGTCATGGTAAGCTCAAAAGCCGGTTTCTTTCAGGAAGGAGACTCGATCCATCTGGAATGCCGCGTTACTCCCATCAACGATCCTCAACTCAAGGTACAATGGTATCGCAATGGAGCCCCATTGCCTGAAGCCAGCAGGTTTGTGAGGGAGGTGGCCGACGGGGGGACAAAAACGTCTCGTTTGGATTCCGGCCGACGGGGGGACAAAAACGTCTCGTTTGGATTCCTAGGGACCTTAAAATATACTGTGAATTCTTCCAGATTCAAGCCGGTGTTCGAATTCGGTTTCTGCGCATTGGATATTCTCTATGCTTATCCAGAAGACAATGGAGACTACGAATTGGTCGTAACCAACGACAAAGGCGAAGCCCGTACCAAGTCTAGGATCACGGTAGGTCTCAGATGGTTCTTCTGGGTGCGGACTGGGTGATAACCATTACTATGTCAGGTTCTACCTCGACCCGCACTTGACTACTCGTCTCAAACTCATCGCAGTCATCAAGACAACCTCGAATCGCACTTCCGACAATACACAACGGCTGGCATCGAACTCATTCCTGCCGATATCTACGACGAAGCTAAGAAGCAGTAGGTTTCCTCATTCTAGTTCTTCTGAAGATAGGAATAGGCCTGAATCACTGTTAGGATGAGCCTAAATTCACGGCTTCTGAAAGATTCTTCTCAGTAGTCCACTCTGGCATGGCTGGCATGGGCATAACCGACGGTTACTTACCTTGCAACGATGTA